CACTCTTTCTCCTTCTCTCTCTCTCTCTGCCTGCCTCCTGCCTGCTGCTGCGACTGTGGCACTGAAAAACATGGCGCCTTCTTAAACAACATTTATATGAAAAGACCCACTGCTTCCCATTCATTTCTGAACACCCATCAAATAACATTATAAAAAGTACCCTCCCCCTCTCTCTCTCTCTCTGTCCTAGAGAGATCTTTGGGGTTATATTCCTTTGTAACAAGAAACATGGTGAACAAGAAATGTGGTCCTAAGAAGAGATGACTTGACTTATACATGATTACCCTCTCTTGTTCAAACTTCAACGTACACGACTACACAGTCCTTTCATTATTAGGATACACAGCATCGAAGCAATCAGATCTTGTATTTCCAGTGAGGCAGTCACGCTACTGTTCTTAGTCTCTGTGAGTTGGGGAGAGAAGAGGTAAATAGTACTGGTCTTTGGATGGTAATTAACTATTTCTTTCGGTTAATGAATGATAATTAACTAATTATATCAGCTATGAGAATCACTTCAGAGAAACATAGATGGATATCATATAAAGAACCTAACAATATCACTAGCTTTGAACCCGGCCGTTGGCCGGTTGGTTACAATTTATATATTTTTTATAATAAAAAACTTATCAACGTTAGGGCCATCAACAATAGAAAGGAATAGTAAATAAATCACTACTACCCTAAATATGTGAAATGATGATTTCTAAAGTCCCGATGCATGCTTATATGTGAAAATTCATGAACCAAATAACTCAAAATCCTCAAATATACAAATATAAATCAATCCACAACGTAATATATTCGAGCTGAGGTTTAGCTAATAATTCTTAACAAAAATAATATGAAGCGTATTAATCAATTTTTTACTACCTACCGTGTCGTCCGGTCAAACGGAAATACCGAATATCATATTCGAAATGGTAGAAGATTTTAGCGATATGACACGGTTGAACCGTACCGGCTGGTTGAATGAAAAAATGAGATATCAGACTCCGAACAGTATGCGATTTTAGCGGTATGAAATTTTTGAACCATAATTTTAGAAGAAAATATTTTATCACATAATTTTTTATATAACTTTTAATACAATTTTACAATTATTGATATTAACCGGCCAAACAAAATACAATGAGTAAACACAACAAAATTGGGACAATTGGACATGTACTAAAAAAGCACGTAAAGTTCTGTAAAAAAAAGGGCAAAGGAAATTAATAAATATGGGAAACTACCGCAAATGCAAATGCGAAAAGAAAATAGAAAAAAATGAAAATTCCGCAAGTTGCGGGGAGGCGTTTAGCGAGAAAACGCTTTATATTATTTAGAGATTTAACTAGTGATTAAAAATATTCATATCATCGATCTGTGCATAAATGTGTTCAAATAAATTTATGAGTTTGAGAGTAGCATAAAGGAACATAAAGGAACATGGGTTCTTAGATTTGGTGGTTGTGGTTGATGAACCGTCAACAACAGCTCAGTTTGAGTTTGTTGGATTCATACCGGCACTAATACTCTAGGCTTCAAAATATCGAAGATACCATCATTTATCTTTCAATTTTTATTGATAACATTTCAGATGAATCAAGTTAAATAAGATGATATGTAAACTTACGATTAGTTTGATGATATATCAAGAGATGTACAATGGCAATTGTTGAGTTATATATGTAGATGATCATGGTCCCAAATTCATTCATTCAGCAAGAGAGAATGTATGTGTAGGTGAGTTAGTTCTTAAGCTATAAATCTCTCATTATTATTGATCTTTATGAACCAAAGAATGCTTTTAGGGCTGGCTATATAGAATTATTATTATGGGTCAGAACTCAGAACTTTCTTTTAAATGCTGCTGGGGGGAAGAGGGTCAGCTAGCTTCAATAATTTTTCTCGTTTTCCTATCAATTTTTCTGGCTTGCTGACCATCAGGGTTTAAATGTATTTCTGTTTTCTAATATATATATATTTTTTTTCTTGAATAAAAAATATATATCATCCCATATAGTCCAAACAGAAGATCCAAAACTGCCAAAAGGGAAGGGGAGAAGAGTGACATAAGTGTTCTCTGATCCTTATTCAATGAAATAGTCCCAGACCAGGAAAGAAATGCCTGCCCACTACCCTTTCCTCACACACCAGAAAAAGAAAATGAATACCCAAACTTAAATTAATTATTACTTACATATACGCTGACATTTGGACGTACTAACTATATATTATACGTACTAAACAGCTAGCATGATTCGTGTTTTACTTAATTATACGCAGTTATATACGTACACTAACGTTTGGAAACCCTTAGGAGTGGCTGGGAAAATATCAGTTTGCGTGGTACGTGAGTGAAACGTATATAAATCACCAGGTATACATACTGATACGTCTTAAACTATTTTTGGTTAGGCCAATTCCTTATATTGATAAGAACATCCGTAAATAAATATAAATCTGTACCAATAAGTTTGATATGCATAAGTGGCATTGTATAAGTTTGATGTCTTGAATTCATTAAAGAATATATATGATTCTTGTGGATGTTGAGCATCTGTTGCTTCCATAGCATAGTGGTAGTGCGTTCCCTTCGTAAGGGAAAGGTCGTGAGTTCGATCCTCACTGGGAGCTCTTTTGACATTTCATTTTTTGCCCATTCATAAGAAAAGAAATGTATCGGACTCAAACCTAATCATCAATAGTCCCCTTTTTATGATGTAACTCCTCAAATCTGAGACTTTTCTTAGGTGAATCTAACACCTTAGCCGCTTGTGATTTGACTATATTCTTGTTGACAATGATTATAATAAGTATTCGAAAGCAATACAGCTTCACTAGTTTGGTTTAGAACAATACAATAAATGTAAGGTTAGTAGTAATAGTGGTAATAATATCTGAATCAACTCTGAATCCGAACTCTATGAAGAAATTTTGGAATGCATGAGCTAGTGTATATACTACCTAACATATGATCAACAATTCGTATTATTCATTAATGAAAGAACTTCATGAAGAAGATGTGGTGCATTATAATTTTCAATGCGCCGAGAGAACGATAATCTACGTTACTTCTACTCCTAAAACTACTACAAATACTATTAAACTGGTTTATTATTCATTGACGTACGAAAACCGAAGAACAATGTACATATTTATAGGACTCTCTCACAAACCCTTTCCCTCTCAAACAAGGTAAACTAATCCTACCCCAGCAAGTAAATAATAACTTACTCAACAAGACACAATAAACTAATACGAATATTACAAATAATCATAATAATCTAACAATTAATTAATAATAATATCCTAATTACTAAGCCTATACGCAGCACCAAGGCCCATGGGTGCTACAATGCACCAAGATGTTACGTATCATCAATGTAGTAAAAAACGAGTTTCTATGTAGAAATGCTTTGGTGATCTAGAAACGTAAATTCGTAAGTTTTTAAGTTTTAAAGCAGAGTTTTTAACTACATAAGTTATAAAAACTGAGATTTTGTGTAGAAACGTTTTAGTGACTTAGAAACGTAAAATCGTAAGTTTTTAAGTTTTAAAGCGCGATTTTGACTGCATTGCGTATCATATTCGAATTCGATCATAAATTGGTTCCATGTTTTGACTAGTGTGATACCAAACATTAACTTTCCGAATTTGAGGCTTGCTCTATTGTGAATCTAACACCTTTATCCGCTAGGACTATATACAATCTAATTGAGATCAAGTATTCACCAAGACACTTCCTCTAGTTTGGTTTAGAACACTAATAAATGTAAAATTAGTGGTAATGAAATGATAATAGCATTTAATATACTCTGAATCCAAACTCTATAATGACACTCTAATATGAATGAACTATGAATCCGCCACATAATATAGAATCTATCCTTCAAAATGACGACACGTCAAGATTTTCCCTCCTAGGTGTTCCCTCTCCTCATCATTAAAATTCTCATGCCCCGGTGATCAAAGAATTATAATGATAATTATGATATTTTGTGTAAATATATAAATACAAGAATAATTATGATATTGATCAAGCTTTCCGCAGTTCTTTATATGCAATAAACTTTGCCTTTTGTCCCCTTCCTTTCAATAAACTTTGGTTACAAGGTCAATTTCAGAAATCATTTATCACAAACCGACTTTATCCACAATCATCCAGCATTTAATTTCAACTAGCTTCGTGTTTCATGCTTTGAGCAATATAAAAAAAAAACAAAAGATTTAACAACATACAAGCACTGAATAATGAATATCATCAACATATGATGATTACTTACTTTGATGTTCATTGATGTGCATTGAGAATAATATCTAGGTCCATCAAAGAAATAACTGATTTCATCGTGCATTTGTGTCAAAAGTCACTAACATGAAACTATTGGTCACTAAATTAACAGGGAAAATATTGATCGTTAAACTTTTGTGACTAAACACTTATAACTATATATATTCTATCTCTCAACCTGATCATGAACAAATTAAAGTTAAATCCTAGCTAAACAACATAAATATTTCATTGAATGTTGTCGAATGAAAGAACAACAAGAATGTACACATACATGTACAATCTTTTTTCATTTGTTTACACTAAATACATCATGGATCACAGGAACACAGTTGTTACAAAACAACTTAATAATTGCTCTTTTTCTTATTTTTTTATTTTATTTTTGATCAAATTTCAAGAATTTCCATCACCCACCAACACCATAACTAAATGAACAAATAAATATCACCACACATACACAGTAAAAAATAAAATTACAACAAAAATAAACTCTCATAATCTCACTCCCCACCCCCAAAAGATAACTAATCACATAATAAAACCAGCAAACCCAATGCTCCCCAACAAAGAATCTAACATGTTAACTGATCAAAAGCCTCCCAAATATTATCATCTATAATGAAACCAGAGAATCTATAGAAATTAATCCACTGGTCCACTCATTATTAAAAACGATGTTAATTTAATCATCATAATGTAATCACCAAATTATATATGGTCACCCCTCCGACCTCCCTTTCTCGACCTCACCGTGGTCCGTGACCCCCGACGACACGTAACTCACCACCAACGAGTTCTCATCCGGCGGCGCCACCGCGGCCGCAAACTTGTTCCTACAAGTGGCGCAGGTGAGGTGGAGGACGGCGGAGCTCATCTGCTTCACGGCGTGCTCCTTGAGCGCCTCCGCCTTGTCCAGCTCGGCCTGTGCCCGCTGCCGTATCCGCTTGGCATTGGCGAACTCCTCTTCCGCCAGCTGGATCTGCCGCTTCGCCTCCTTCCTCACCTCCTCCGCGTATGCCTTCTCCGCCATCGCCGCCCTCATGATCTCCTCCTTCACCTCCCTCCTCCCGGCCGAACAGGAAGACGACCCTACCGACAGCTGCAGCTGCGTGGTTGCAGCAGCGGCGGGGGCGGAGGACGATGGGGAGGACAGCTGGAGGTCGAGGTTGTGGAAGGAGTGGGAAGTTGGAGTTGTCGGGGCACCAATTGTTGTTGTTGTTGTTGTAGCAGTACTAGTAGTAGTAGTACTGCTCAACAACATCAGCCCCCGTCCGCGGTGGTGATGACCTGGTGGAGGAGGCGGAGGAGGAGGAGGAGGAGTAAGTTGTTGTTCCAGTGCTAGTTGTTGTTGTTGCTGTGATGGATGTGATGGACGCGTCGGGGCGATCATGGGCCACGGCGCGGTCTCGTTGGACGGGCTCGGGCTCGACGCGGTTCGAGACAGACATGCAGTCTGGTGTTGCTGCTGTTGATGGTGTTGGTGCAGGTCGGGTGGGGAATGTTGCTGCCTGCCCATGCTGCAGGCGTCTTGGTGCTCTATGAAGCTCTCCACCCTGCACAGAGAGAGAGAGAGAGGGGAAGGGGAGGGAGAGAGATGAAGAGGTTTAGCCAAATGTCGCTGCCGCCATGAATGGATATATATGCATAGTAAGAAGGGATCTTGCTAGCTAGTTAGCTAACACATTATTATAGAATAGAATAGAATAGGGCAGAGGACAATAGGATTATGTAACAACAACACATAAATACAAGGGATTGTGTATTATTATATGGGTGTATATGAACAAGAATGTTTGTAATCCGTTGGGTGTCGTTATTCGGGAAGGAGAGAAGAGCTCGACCCATTAAATTAAATAAATAGGGGAAATGGAAATGGAACAGTGTATTGTATTTATAAGAGAAACATGATGATTATACAGTGGGGTTGGGGTTGGGGTTGGGGTTGAAAAAACATCATTATAATAAGGTTTGAATTGCATTGACTGGGTTTTGATTTTTGGAGAAGAAGCAGAAATGGCTTTTCGAGAGAGAGAGAAAACAAATATATAGTTTGTTTATTTGGCAGAGGGAGAGAATAAAGCCATGCTGCTGCTCCTCAAAGCTTCTTTTCAGAAGCGGCGAAAGGCTGGAAAAAGGAAGAAAAGTAGAGAAAGAGCAGCAGTAGTAGTAAGATAATATTTTTGCCTAGATCCTCCATTCCCCCACGAACTGGAACATGGTCGCGAAACAAATTTCTTTTTAGAAAGAGAAAAAAAAACCGTTTTCAGAATCAGGTACAGTTCTTGAACTCCGAGCAAAGCTCAAAACGAAAAATTAAAATACCCACAAGAAACGCACCCAATCTCGGCTCGGGAACCGCAATACTCTAGTTCGAATTACCTGGAGAAGACGCGGCCGCAGTCGCAGGAGTGGCCGCGGGTGCCGCAGGTCTTGAGGTGGGCCTTGTAGTCGGACTGGACGGCGTAGCCCTTGGAGCACTTGTCGCAGACCCACTGCTTGGTGTTGCTGTGCTTCCTGCGGAAGTGCTTCTTGATCCCGACGAGGTCGCCGAGGGCGTGGCAGGGGTCGTGGTGCAGGCAGCTGGGCTCCGGGCAGACGAAGACACGCTTCTTGACGACGGGGGTTTCTCTCTTGAGCAGCTTCCAGGGGACCTTGTGGCGCCTGCGGTGCATCTGCAGGTTCTGGTCCCGCTGGAAACCTTGGTTGCAGATCTCGCACACGTACCTGTCCGACTCCATCAGCGTCCGCGGCGACAGCGACACCACCTCCGCATCTGGATCTGCCACAAAAATAAAAAGAGCAGTTTTAAAAAAAAATATATTAGGTTAAACAAATTGGAGAATTGGGGAATTGGAGAATTGGGATGTAGTACCTGGAGTGCCGGCGGGGCGGCGCTTCCGCTTGTTGCTGGGGGAGGCGGCGGCGGCCGCGGCGGCGGTTTCGGTTTCTAAGGAGGAGGGAGGGGAGGATGATAAGTTGGGGAACATGGTGATTTTTGTATGCAACAGTACTAATTACTACTACTTGGGTATGGCTAGCTGGTTGGAAAAAGCGATTCCAATCTCTTTTAACTTTTTTGCTTCTTTAATGGTGGTGGTGATGATGATGATGATGGTAGAGTTACTGTGGTGGTGTGGGCTTCTTCTTCGAGAGTAATCATGGAATTGGAAACCAAGAGAGAGAAAGGAGATCGGGGTTTCGATTTGGGTTTTGCTTGTGCTGCTGATGGATGATGATCTTCTTTGCTTTCTTTTCTTGTTGCTTGGTGGTGCTTCCTCTTGCTTGCTTGCTTCCTTCCTTTCGGTCGATGAGCTGCAGCTTTTGTTGTGGAAAGAAGGAAGAGAGGGAAAAGGGGAAAGAAAGGGGGTTCCTTTGCTTTGATGGAAGCAGCCTTTTCTCAATTGAGCAGCTTTATTTTTTTTTTTTTTTGCAGCAACACTACTACTGGTACTAGCTAAGCTAAGCTAGATCATGATACTGGTTCTTCAGAAGAAGAAGAAGAGAGAAGGAGGAGATAGAGAGAGAGAGAGAGAGAGAGAGAGAGAGAGAGAGAGAGAGAGAGGAAGAAGGGGAATTGCATTGAAAGCAGCTTGGAACCCACAAGAGGAAGGGGGAAATATAAGGGGGCCAGAAGAAAGGAGAAAGGAAGAAGAAGAAGAACATATCATCATCACCCCTCTCTTCCTACTCACAAAGAAACAAAACGCTCTTAATTATAATTCACTTTTTATCTCTTACACAGTTAAATGTTAATCTCACCCCTCTCTGTTTTTTTTGTTCTTTGGGATTTATCTGCATTAATAAGTACAAAAGTCCAGGAAACAAAGAATAAATACAAGAGAACAAGAACAAGATCTATAAAAATACACGTATTTTTTTTTTTTTTGGAAATTTGAGAGAAATAATCATTAATATTTTATTGAGTGGAAATGTACACGCAATCTATGTCTTGCCACGGCCCGCAGAAAATTCCTGCTAGGCTACGCTCTGGATATGGAAGGATATATAGTGGAAATGTTCACATCAATGATCGAACCTTATTTTTCATTTTTCTTTTTTCATTTTTCTGTTTTGGAATGAAGGTAGAACAGGTAGGACAAAAATGCTATGATTTAGTAGGACGGGGTGAATAGTAAAATCCCAGTTGCTTTTTACCATAAATCAGCTTCCTAGTAATTATGTTGCCGTTCTTCTTAGTTTCTTACCTTGCATTTTTGTCTTGGATAATTTTTTTTAGATTACTATATAAGATCATATCTTTAGCTACTCACTCTTTTTATATTTGCGTTATTGCCTCATTTTAATCATATTTACACAACTCGTTTATGTAAATCACATTATATTTTATGTTCATAACGTATACATTTTTTTTTTACTTCTCTCTCATTTATCATACAATATATTTACACCATTCGTCACAAAATATATTAACAGGATTTAGTCAAGATATGATCGCTACATACATTGAGCTTTAACTCAAAACCTTCTCATAATAAAAGAGATTAACATGAAATTACCTCAGATGTGTCCATTAATTAGACTCTTCAGAGATAAGCAATGATAAGTTTTGCCCATCTACCCGGTGAAAGGTGGCAATCAAATAGACAATAATTCACAACTCCAACAAGATAATGAAGAATGGTGATTTCTTTTTTTCCCAGGCAATCAAATAATGCATTGAAGTGATCAATTTTAAATAATTGTTGATTGGAAATTATGATATCTGAAAAACGTTTTTTTGTATAAAGGTAAGGAGATTACTCCTTTCACCAATGAAATTGGGACGATTAGGCGTTACTTAGTACTCCAAAGAATTTACATATCGATAACGTGAGAAAAATTAACATCCATCATACTCTAAATTCAACATGAAAGTTTTAAAAAAATACTTTATAAAAATGATGAAAAGATTAAAGTTCACACAAACATCGTACTGCTAATTTATATACCAATAATAACCCAAGAATATATATGTAGTGTATAGGAGTTTTCTTGTGCATACGTGTGCCTCTTGAATATTTGTAGGATTGCTCAACTAAACTCCTATAAAGTATTAATGGTGATCAAATTAAGGTACTAATTGTATAAGGCAGGAAATTAGATGAGGACAAAGTGTAGAAAGACGCCACAAGGAGAGGACTAGGTTGTCAAACCGGTTTAAGTCATTGAACCGGTCAAGCAAAGAGTTTGAGGTTTAATGGTCTGATCGGAGTCTGGCCGGTGTAGACGTTTTCTAAATATATATACAAATAAGGTAGTAATTAAAGATTTAATGGCTGAAATAAAATTTATCTTACATGTATCTATTAAAAACTTATTTTTCACAACTTAAATCTACATAACCTTCATGACTCACCCATCATCTCCCTTCCTTCGGTCCTCTTCCTCTCTTCCCCCTCTCTTCTTCTCTATCTTTAGGGGTCAGATCGGGGGCTTTCTGGATACCATTTTAAAGCCCAACTTAGGTCGGACCAGGTCTAATCGAGGTCCAATAGAGGTTTGACAATCTCAGAGGAGGGAAGGAAGATATGAAGTAGAGCTAGAAAACATCTCCTTTTCTATTATTTGAAACTCTTGGCAATAGAGCTGGCTATCAAAGTGTAAATTATTACACACAGATGCGAAGCGGCAGGCTTTTGGCAAAGGTGGTGTCTTTTTGATGATATTGAGGGAGAGCGGGGTCAGGGGTGGTAAGTCACCCTCATCTGGACAAATTGGTCAACTCCAAAACTTGTCTCTCTAAGCAAAGTTCCTTTCATTTACAGGGAAGAAATTAGAAAAAGGGAGAAATGATAAAAAAAAAAAAAAGAAGGTGGAACAAGAAAGAAAGAAAGACAGTCATAAGCCCATAACAAAGTTCCTTGCTTTGACACTCTCATAGTCATAGGTGCAGGCCTCAGTTAAAAAAGGGAATTGGCAATTACTACATTCATGGAGATGCCTCTTTATAAGGCTTTCTATATGGAGCACACCACACTCATCTGCTCTAGTGTACAAACAATAATTCTGGTAATAATTACACTTCCCAAACCAACCAAGGGTAATTTAGGTATTTCCACATTTTACCTCTTTACCTGGACCATGGGATGATTTCCTTCAAATCGATCAAATATTCATTTTTATTGTGAAATTGTTGGCATTTTCTTGAATTATAGGGTCAAAAACAAAAAAATTTATGTGAAGAAACACCATCGGTAGTTTGGTACTAATGTTCATATACAATTCCGTGCTTTCGTTTAGAATATTGTAATTCAACAATTGGGTGTTTGACTCCTAACAAGTAACAATATAAGTACCTTTATTTTTTTCCCTTTTCCTTTCACAGTGTTGTGATTTTTCATATATCATCATTGACCATCACAAAAAAGAGTTAGGTTATCATGTATTTCCATAGTATATTAATCCGAAGATTAAAGTAAATATGAAATTCAATTAGGGTTTTTTGTTCTACATCCAAACATATACATGTTTCTTAATGCGGCATGAAGAGAATTATAGCTTAGGTTAAAATGTAATATTTATTTAACTAGTGTTTGTGGTTAGAACAATTCGGAGATAATACTCTTTTATTTATAAAATTACGAATCATTATGACATTCAACATGGTATCTATCAAAGTTTGCTTTTACAAGCATTTTTTAGCTTCATATACAATTATGTCCAAGTAGTAATATTACTGAAAGGAATGATTCATGTTGAACATAGATTATCCGTCACGAATTATTACATAACCTTTCCATTACAATCTACAGAATTTGACAACGACAGCCGGCAACAGATATTCCCTCATGTTAATCTACGCAATTAATCAAAATAATTAAAGGAAGACAGCTATGATTACTTAAGTTCATAAATTGGACGGCCAGGTAGAATTGTTATTATTCCTCTCATCTCATCTCCGGCGGGCGTATACGTCATCTTCTAGTGCATGGAGTTGAGATTTGACATGTAAGCTACGTCCCGAGTAGGGCTCAGCCGCATTCTCTACAGCGGCCGGAGTGGAAAAGGAAAACATTGATGAGAAATCATTATCAATTTTGAATTTACACGTACATACACCATCATCTTTGATTAAGTTTAATTATCACTAGTATAAATAAGCTTTAATTATGCTAATTATGAGGTGTACAAAAGTTATATTGCTTTTTGTTGAAAAACGAGTTCAGCTTTAATAATTCGCATTAATCAAAAGCCAATTCATTCACACATTTGAAATTAAAGTGGCCTTCTAGTTCCGGCTTAAATGATTAATTTGTATTGATTGCCATAAGAATTCGAAAACTAAATGTTTAGTGAAATACCTAATATTATGTTAAGTATTAATTCATCTCATTGTTTCAAATTATGGTGAGATGTCCAAATTAGGTGTATTATTATTAGTGGCGAAGTCAGAAATTGGAATGAGGAGGGTCTGAAAATATTAAAGTGCAACAGTACCCCCACTCCCCAGAAATTGGAATGAGGAGGGTAAAAAAAAAATTGCACAGTTATATCAGATTAACTGTGCACTTCAAAATAATATCCACTTTGATATATTTTTCGAACAAAAAAAATTGAGCCATTTTTTACCTGTCTATACCATATGGTATTGACTGGTATTGAAATAAGAGCATACATATGGTTTGAAAAGCGTACCATGGTGGTATGAACAAATCGAGACTTTAGGATGGTTGAATACATAATAGTATAAGTATATTACCTATCATTCACGAATTTTAATATTGTGTACCACAAGATACCACCCCGTACCAGGATGGTATTGTGTGGTATTTTTTGGTCATGTAATTTGTTCACCCATAAATTTGTAGATCCAATAGATCATGATGAACTCGTTCATTCTGTGCAAACGCTTTCAAAAACGAATTAAAAACGAAGAAGATACCATATGGTATGCAATTGGTACCGAGAGGCAAGAATTTTTTTTCTCACAAAATATTGAAAATGGATCTCATTTTATAGATCACAACGAACTCGTTTTATCTATGCAATAAAAATTAAAATTCGGGTTAAAACGAAGGAGATATGAGCCGATTAAGAAAGATAGGAAAAATAAAAATGACATTTTATTTTCGATCTTTAGATCTGGCTTTTCTAAATGAATAGTTCAAATTTAGTTATTGATATGCACTCTATCTTGAGCCTGAAAAAACACAACAATAAATTAACAAAACGAGTAAATTAGTTAAAAACAACAAAAAAATTAATAGAAAATTTAATATGTATAATAAATATTAAATATATTAAGAAAATTTTATAACAAAAATATATATATATATTTGTATAATCCAACATAGATAGTTAGAAAATTATGTCCACCCTATAATATTCGAATTCAAATTTTACACTATCTAATTATATCAGATTCAGATATATATCCACGAATATAATTTTTTCCCCCATCTCTAGCTGTAGCCACTTGAAACCTTCACGTAACTCCATCGGCACCTCTGTGTATTATGCTGTTAGCGTTTGGAACTTGCTAATAATAAGTTAAACTCGCATAA